CTGGGGAACATGGCTCCCTCTCCCCTACATCCCCTCACGTAAAGGACAGGCCCCTCTTCATGAGTGTGGCCTGGTATCGTGCTTGGGCTGGGTTTACCAGGGCCAGAAGCTGCTGCACTAGATCATGGATTTTCACTGATGGTCCCACCTTCATCCCTGTAAGGCCCAGCACCTCATTCTGCGTCAGGCTCAGCAACTTCGTCCCATGAATGTTCTGGTAAAGAGAAAAAGAGGGAGGGTTGGTCAGTTTCAGTGTCTAAGAATTCAGCTGAGAAATATTATGTCACCCCTGTGTTCCTTTAATTACTTTAAGTTACTCATCTTAAATGTCACTGGTTCATTTTTACATTCATGTAAGAATGCCAACTAATAATTATTCTAATTCTACTTTTCTGCATTAGCTTAAAACTTTTTATCTTTGGTATACATAAGCTGTTAATTTGATGGTGAAAATATAAGCAAATCTTTAACAAAAACCTGTAATCACCCTGGAAAGAATGTAAAAGAACTCTACAGACTACAAAGGTGTTCTCAGACCAACTGCCTGATAATGTGTGTCAAATCTTGTTAGTTTAAACTTTCATCTGTAATACAAGCATCAATTAATGCACTGCAATTATAAGATTGGTGCATTAACATAAACATACTAAATATCAATACTAATGTTATATATGAAAGTTTAAACCAAAAATATATTTTATAAATGCAATTTCACACAGCTGGACTGAAATCAGCTTTGATCACCAACGCTTAATCTTCAAAACATTTAAAAACAAATTAAATTTCCATAAATACCACTCTCAAATAATATATTAATATATTACATGCCATAAGTTCATGAAAGTATCAAATTAACATCAATCAGTTTATCCTCACAGTAGAAAAAAATGTGTTACCAATAATATGCAGATCTGTACTTCTTTTATGATAATTACAAAACAAACCTGAGATATGAAGTTGTCACAATAAGCTCCGCAGTCATTCTTCTTCAAGAAAAGTGCTACATCCTGAGGTGTCCAGAGTTTAGGCTTGACTTTTGATCCATCTTTAATTGGCCCATCAATCATCCTTGGAATAACTGACTGAGGTGACTCTTTCTCTGCCACAGGAAGTACTGTGTCCTGAGAGGAATTATTACACTGGTTGTTCACTGTGGATGAGACTGTAGGAGACTGTGATGTGACCTTGCTCTGCTGAGAAATGCCATTCTTTAGCGCTGGGGGTAGGGTGGACTGTGGGATGTTTACTGGGTTTGATGTATTAGCTGTGACAATCGTGCTCTTGACAGCAGATGTCTGTGTTTTCAACTCTTTGTTGGCTTGTAAAACATTGGGAGTGGCAGCGACAGGAACACTGCGCAGGGTGTTGTGACTTTCCTGCTGTTGGGTATGAAGCATGGACCTTTGCTCTTGACTGACCATTGCTGGTTGAGGGTGATACTGGGTAACCTTTTCAGGCACTGGTTCCTGTTCTTGGTGAATCACCTTGGTCTTGGATTCTTGATCTCTGCCTTCTGTTGCAGTAGTTGTAAAGCCTGTCTGATGAGATGTGTTCTGACTGGGAAGCTCAGCTGAAGGTATGGGGGATGGGCTGCCTGAGGGTGAGTTGCAGGATTCTTCCTCCATGTCCCATGGTTCTCGAGAACTTTCATTCCCATCTAATGAGGCCACACCTGAGGATGTTTCATCTGTAAAGACAAAGCAGTTTCAATATTAACAGAGAAAAGCCATTCATATCTTTATTTATCTATTAATACTTATTATTATTACTATTATTATCATAATTATTTTTAAATTACTCTCAAACCCTCTGCAACCACATGTTGTGCTATTACAAATCACTGCTACCATCCACACTAAAAAGTTAACACCCCCTGCTAAAATGCATGTTAGCTAGCTATTGCACTCACAAGTACTACCACTTGCTAAATATAACATTTTTAGTAATTGATGAACATTTAATTTCTATATTTATGTCACTGATCTTAATCTTCTATAATTTCAAATATACAAGTCTGTAAAACTGAAAATATAACAAACAAAGAAGGGCAAGCAAGGAGTGATGTTTCAGTATATTTGAGCACTAAGGCCAAAATTTTGTTTCAACACTAAAATAATCCAGTTGCAAAAACTCTCCCTATAACATAAATCTCTATAAAGTGAGCTTGCTAGATCTACATATAATAATAAATGTCAGGAATGTATATAGGATATATGATGTACGACACTTTCTCATAAAACTTAAATCTCAGACACCCAAAAAAAAGTTAGGACTTGTCTAACCACATGGTTGAACAGTCTACTGGTCAGGGATGTAGTAAAGCTAGTCTTGCTTGCCCAGTCTGGAGATTGCCAGAAAACTGGTAAAATCAGGAACCAAATGGAGTTAGGGTAATAAACCACATATCTAAAAGACCTACATATACCTTCTGTAGTGCACAATATATCTTGGACCTGGCCCCTTAACTGACCATAACTGACCTTAACAATACTTAGCCATC